GTAGCCCATATATAAGGTCAGTTTGAGCAGGAAAATTGAAGGTGGCTAAGAAGAGATAGATATCGTCTGGCCAATGAAAAGTAGATTTGTCTCACTAATGATGATTTGTGATCGCTGGAAGTGCTACTGCGTCGTAAAGTGTTTTCCTGAACGATCTGATACGGGATACATTCATTGGCACTATTGATTCAGACACCATTTGTTGGACTATTAAGTTTAATAACTTGACTTGTGGGTACCTAAATGTTTAGTATTTTAATATTAATTTAATGCAAATGTATGCATACCCAATAATATTAAACAGAAAATCTTTTGTAACTAATATACAATGTTGCGGCTCGGTAAATACGTCGACACTGAAATGAAAATCAGTCTAGCATAGGAAAAATTTGGGAATTACACCGCGAAATGGTGAATTGCGCAGCGGAGTTATTGTGAATCGGCATAAATTGAGCCAGCATAAACCGAGGGCTACTTTTATTGCACTCACTTTTTACTCACTTATTCTGTAATTCAACTCGCTTTTCTCACTTTTTCAAAGAGGAAATGGCACTCCCAGGCCTGTAATTGTAATATTTTGACAATGCATGGATAATTGGGAGTTTGGTGTATTTACCAACAGAAACAATGTATGATTGCCATCTTAAAGATAATACAATATTTTAAAATGAATTACCATTGAGGAGAATATTTTCAGTGTTGTAACTAGGCAGGTGCATCAGCACAGGGCTCACTTGGAAGGGCCACCTTCCAAGTGAGACCTGCAAATTCTTGTACAGGGCACAGGAATGGCTAGTTACAGCACTGAATATATGTATACACCTTGATAGTTAATGATCAAAATATTATCTATCCACAAGAAAAAGAAATGATAAATAAAATTGAAAAATGTTTGTTAATATACAAAGGCAATATTTTTGGATCCAGATGTGAATTAATTTAACCTTGTCTTTCAATTCCATGTAAGAGGTGATCTTTAAGTTGAAAAGAAGGTGGTAGAGTAAGAATGAATTCACTTAAAACTGGCAAATGGATTATTATCGGAAAAAGAAATGGATCGGCAAGGCAAAAATTTTTGCGTTTTATACTGAGAAGCAATAAGAATTAAAATAATTTTCGAAAATTATTTTAATTCTTATTGCTTCGAAATTCTGCATTTTAATTTCGAATTAACAAAATTATGTACGTTATCCATAAATTAAGTATTACAATTCAAACGTCGGAGGTTCGAAAATAAAATTGGCGATTTTACGCTTTTTTCACATTTTATGAATATTATACTAATAATTTTGATTCCTTAAAATTGATATGTTTAAGCTTTTTCTGTCGGCACTAAGGCCATTTAGTGAGCCCATCGTGGGTTCGGCCAGGAGCGATAAGACACGAGACTTAAACATCCAGAACGGGCTATCCCAGAAAAATTTCTGAGGTTTCACCCGTCGGTATAAATTCAAGGGTTCCTCGGAGTGATAGGCTGATACCTTAACCATTCGGCCGTGTAGCTCTGGGTTGATTTATTGCTTTTATATATAAAAATTTATCAAATTTAATATGTTCCGATGGATAACATTTTACGTGGTATTTTATATCTTGAGTTTCTTAGCAGAAGTTCATATGCTAACAGTACTTTCTGTACTTCGAAAATATTACTTTTATTTTTTGTGCTTTATAATTTTAAGATTATCTGTTTTGTATCGAGATCATATACCAATATCGTCTTTTCTCTTACTTTCGATCCCTTTAGTACAGCAAATACCAAATTAGAATGTGATTATTCGGGAAGGTACTAATAGTGGCGCGTTATCCTATGGACAAAAAAGGCAATTGCCTTGGGGGCTCCAAACCATTCTTTTATAAGAAAAAATTCTCCCAAAGAAAAATGTCTGAAGTCAACACTGTACATGGGACCTCCTAATTCAAATTTGCCTAGATCCCATAAAACCATAACGCGTCACTGAACTATGGGCGAATTTGAATCGGATAAAAGTCGACTTCGTGCAGCGTCTTTTCCGCAGTTCTCGTATATTACGGCGGCGGTATACACACACCAAACATCCTTCTTGTAGGAGGAAGATAGAATACACCAACAACAATGTGAAGATCTCTTTGCCCCATTTCTTCAATGTCCGAATAATTTCTTGCCTATCTATGGATGGGGATACTATAAAAGTTTTACACGGATTTTTCTGGAACGCATCTATCATGTAAAAACACATTTGAGTGTATTCTATGTAATTATAAAATTAAATAATAAATTTTCAGATTTTATATTCGGCTAATAAACTAAATTTCATTTCGGGAAATTTCATCTTTATATCATTTTTATTTATTAAAAAATCGAAATTATTTTAACTTTTTAAGTGAAATATTTTTAATTGATTAATGTTTTGACGTAACGCATGACGCATTTATCGGAACGTCAATTGTTCGAACGTAGCAAACAATTAATTACATATTGTTCGATTTTTCTATTGTCGGTCGCCATCTTTATGCGGAAACTTTTTCGAAAGTTCCGCGCTTTCTCTTTCTGTTTTGAATTTTTATGGAAGAATTTTGTTTAAGTAAACCTCAGTAATGTAAGTAATTTATTAGTTTTGACTTATAAGAAATCGAAAAGGAAGGAATAACATTCGACAGAATGTTAAATTGAAAGATATTTATATTTCTAGATTCGGAATTTGCTTTAAAATGTGAGAATTTTTTTCAAAATTAACGTTGAATTAAATTAATTTATCAGATTGTAAATAAAACATGGTTGGCTATAGTCATATAGTTAAACGCCATAAATAGACACTTTCTGTGTAAGTTTAAGAGATTAAGCCTATATGTTGCGTTTTAATGGCGTTTTCATGTTCAGTAAAAACCTGGCAAAGTCGAACTGCGTTAATTCGAAGCTGTCTACAAATCCCGGGCACAGTATATAGGGTTTTCCCCAGTGGCGTGCCGTGACATTTGATGATAGGGAAGCTGTGTTTCTATAAGAAGCCCACTTCCAGGGGCAATCAGTTAATTCTTTAAATGTATTTTTAATAGATTATTTATCTGACGTAATTAATAAACGAGTTCAATATAGATATTAATAAACAAGTTCAATATTCTCTGTTATTAGATCCAATATATTCCACATGCCTTCTAAATGCCAATTCTTGCTTTGATAGAAACATATATCTATTTATTTAGATATAATATATCTATTATCCGTAATTACCTCGTTATAATTTTCAATATTTATTTTATATTATTTACTAATGTTAAATTCTATTCCGCTTCGATTTCCAAATTGCTTCAAATAC